GGGTCAGTTACTTATTCTTCCTGTGGGGTCTCACGAGAGTCACTAGCCTGTATGCACCCCCCCCCCATGTGATCATGCCCATTCCTTCCTAAAACCATGTTGGAGGTTCTCAGGGTGACGCGCAAAGGGTCCCCAAACAGCTAAGATGCCTTGGCGGTCCTTCTGGAAGGTGGGGCAGGGATTAGTCCTGCCACTTCACAGACAGGACAACTGAGGGTGGAGAAGGGCAGCAGGAATGGACAAGTGACTCAGCTCAGCCCCTCCCTCGTCTCTAGCTCCCTGGCTTCCCCTGGCCCCCCTCACAGGATTCTTCCTTCCCATATCTCCGAGCAGGACAAGGGGGCCAAGGAATTTGCTCCCCTCTTGTTTGGGTTTGCAAGCCCGCCTCACCGCCCCCTCAAAGGGTTGGGTCGGGGGAGACTGGTGCATTGGTGAGGCCGGCTCAGGAGGAGAGAAGGGAAGGAGAAATTCTCTCTGTGGCCAGATTCTCACCCCTGCCTCCAGTTCACCAGAGTTCCTGCTCTTTCCTGGCAAGCGTGTTTTGGCCCCAGACAGGGCTTCTGCCTCTTGGACTAGACCAACCCATCTTCCAGAGGCTTGGCTTCCCTCCAGCCCCTCCGACCAGTGCCACCCTCCACAATCTTGGCGCCTCTCCTGATGTTACCACTTTCTTGTGTCCTCTATCCCTGGTTCCTGTGTTGGTGCCCAGTCTTCCCACCACCATCTTGGGGTAGAAAGTCACCAGGAAGACCCAGGTTTGATTCTGTCATTTGTTAGGTGTGGGATCTTGGGAAAAGCAGTGAACATTCTTTCCCATCACCAGCCTCAGTTTCCTCTTCAAAGTGGGATGATGATATCTACCTGCATCAAATTGTTGTAAAGGCCAAATACATTAGGTGCTCGAGTGAGCTCTTTTATTTAAAAAATTTTTTAAGGTTTATTTATTTTTAAGAGAGAGAGAGAGTCAGAGCATGAGTGGGGGAGGGGCAGAGGGCCATGGGTAGAGAGGGAGGGCTCCACACAAAGGAAGCCTTCCCATGAATACAGGACGTGGAAAGTGATGGCAGAGAATTTGGAAAAGCAGAACGTGTGCACTGTTTTCAAGGTTCAGCTCTTAGACATCATCCAGCCCAAATCCCTCTTTTATGGGAGGAAAATAAAGGTCCCGGTGGGGAAATGTTTGCCCAATAATCTGCAGGGAGTTAATGGCAGAGCCAAGATAAGAATCTAATGGAGTCAGACAGGCCTGAGTTTGATTCCTGGCTAGAAGCTGTATGATCCTGGGCAAATTAGTTTTCCATTCCTTTTTTATTTTTTTTTTGTTAATCTCTTTATTTTGAAAGAGAGAGAGCACGCACGCATGCGCAAGCAGGGGAGGGGCAGCGAGAGAGGGAGAAAGAGAATCCCAAGCAGTTCGGAGCCTGGCATGGGCCTCGAACTCGTGAACCCTGAGATCATGACCTGAGCCAAAGTCAAGAATCAGATGCTTAACTGACTGGACCACCCGGGTGCCCCTAGTTTCTCATTCTTCAGCCACAGTTCCCTCATTGATAAAAACAGGGATGGTAAGAGTGAAATGAGATGGTGAGTGTGAATACACATACAGGTGCCCAGGTGTGGGGAAGAGGCTCTGTGAATGTGGCTGGACTTTCTCTCCTTTTTTCCGTGCCCACCGTATTTGTCCTTGCCTGTGTTTGAGGCTACATGGTGACCAGTGTGGTCTAAAGTCCTAAGGTTAGCCGTTTGGGTGCTTAGGCGTTGTCAGTTACAGACCTGGGGGCTTGTGAAATGTGGGTAAGCCTGTGTATTTTTATCGACCACTCAATACCCAATTGAGAACAGAAAAAAAAGTGTTGTCAGTCTCAGGAATGAAGGGAAAACAACAGTCAGGGAAATAAAAGAAAGGATAGAAAAGCTAATGATTCAGAAATCTAGAAACTTGGCTTCAGTCCTCTGTTGGTGGCGGGGGGAGGTGGTGTAGGAAGAGGACCGAACGGGATAGGAAGCTTCTCTGGTCCCTAGCGCTGCCATAGAGATACTCTGAGGTCTTCGGCAGTTAGTTGATCCTCTGTCCGCGCTTCGGCTCCTCGTAAGCAGGAGGAAAGGGCAGAATGAGCTGCCTGCCAGGTCCCTGCCAGCCAGGAGGTCTGTGTCTGGACCTGAGAATGCTCTCCTTTGCAGTCCTAGCCTGTGTGGATGGGGAAATGCCTTCCCTTTCCCAGTTCCCAACCCTCGTGCCCCTTGGGGATTTCACACAACACAGAAGGTGCTCTCAGGGAGCTGGGGGTTTCTAGGTCACCTTTGTTTGTAGTTCCTTTAAAACTCAGAGACAAACCACCCCCTAATTCATGCACTGCTGGGAAGGGGAATCTGCCTTTTAAAAATCCAAAGGAAGCCATTTAACCAAGTTGGTAACCATTGTGACTCATAATAAGCTTTTCTCTGTAAAAAATGAGTCAGAATGACTTTCCAGGAAGTTTGGTTACTTTAATTAGCTAGCTCTTTTTTCTTGCCCTTAAAAACCTACAGTAATTTGATGATCACCTAAGTACGGGTGCTACCAGCCACGGCGCTGAGTCCCTAGAAGTAAAGAATCTAGGGGGTGAAGTTCCAGACAGCACAAACTTCTTGGTCTCCATGGAGTAGAAGAAGACCCACACAGAATCCTTTGCTGAATGTGAAATGACAAAAACCAGCCTCCAGGGCTGACCCACTTGGCCTGACGAGAAGGGCACCCCAGCTACCGGGAGCCCCAAAGTGCTTAGCCCTGATGTGCATTCTGTAAACTACAGAATCACAGAATCTTGATGATGCCATCAGAGGTAATGATCACAGTGGCCATGTGTCAAGCACCGTGCTAAACATCATTGCAGTGAGCTCTCAACCCACGCTCTAAGTTGGGCATTAATTGCCCCCCCCCGTACAGAAATGACGAGGCTAAATTAACTTATCAGATCATACAAGTGGTGAGCAGCTAAGCTGTGATTTTTACCCTAGGTCTGTGTGATTCTAAATCCATACCCTTCAAAGGTCTTCTATTCCTGCCTCCTAAGGAGGCAAAGTGGATGGTAGGTCACGTACGAAACCGGAGGACAATCAGATTCCCAAAGTCCCAGCTAATGTTCGGATTCTTTCTCCTTCAACTTAGTCTGCACCTAGCTCCCGCGGTCCCAGAGAGGAGGCTAGAAAGCGCTCGGTTTATCTCTAACGCCTTAACCTTCCTAACCCCCACCAGGGATCTGAACTCCATTTCTCCCCTGGCTCACCTCCTAGGGTCCCACGTAGCTCCTTCCCACTCCCAACACTGTTAACCCTGAACTTGGTTGCGTCACTGGTAACAGAACACCCGTGCCAGCCTGCTAAGTGTGGTCTTCCCGCACTGGCACTCTCTTAGTTGTGGCCCCACACACCGGGGCAGTACAGCTGGCCCAGGTGAGCAGAGGTGGCTCCCGCCAGCCTGCTAACCAGGAAAGGGCCGCCCAACTTCTCCTGAATAGTGGCTTCTGGAGTCTGATTCTTGTCCAGGGAAAAGGCTGCGCCTACCACTCTCCAGCTGAACTGATTTTAAAGCCTTGCTCCAGTTCTTCAGGTTGGAGGGAATTTTCTTCTCAACTGGGGAGAAAATGTGCCCCCTTCCACAGACCCTCAGTAAAACATACTCAGCGGTTAAATCAATTGAAAATTGAGTGGAACTGGCCCGTATTCTCCTAGCCCAGCTGTCCGTGCTCACAAAGCAAAATATAAAAGCTACAGCTCCAATGCGTATTGCTACCCATGCGATAGGCATTGTTTCGATATTAAATAGGGTGGCAGAAAAGCTTATGGTAAACATATCCTCCAGATGCCCCCGACAAGACCCCCAATTATCTTGTCCTCGACCCAAGCTTCTAGAATGGAACTAGACTGCACCTGAAGACTTGGGAAAAGAGTTTAGCTCTGGGGGACATTGATTCTCTTCCACTTCTAATTTCTATGTCTCTAATGATCCAGATGAAAGACTAATTGAGGTCTTGTTGGAAGGCTATTAAAGTTATTTGGTGGTGTTACAATTTATACTCATGTTTCTCTAAGTTCTTTTTAATTATATGGAGCTTTCAAAGCAAAGCTTGGACGGTGGAGTTAAAAGCAGAGTGCTACGAAACTTTCTTCTCAATTCTTTCCTGTCTTCTTTCTCTTCTTCACAAAGCAAAGTCATCTCCAGGCACCAAGCCTTTCTTTCTGGGTCTATTTACCACCCACATGCACATAATTTGGCCTCTTGGCTTGTTCCTTGCCTAGGCCTATTGAGAAATCTGGGGTTAAAAGGCCTTAATCCCCATCTACTGAAGGCAGGTCATGCTTTCTATCAGTCAGCAGCAGCTAGAAACACAGCCTGGTGCTTCTAAGGGTGTTGGAATGGCATATCAAAAAGTCAGTCTCGGGGCGCCTGGGTGGCTCAGTCGGTTAAGCGCCCGACTTTGGCTCAGGTCATGATCTCGCAGTTTGTGAGTTTGAGCCCCGCGTCGGGCTCTGAGCTGTCAGCACAGAGCCTGGAGCCTGCTTCCGATTCGGTGTCTCCCTCTCTCTCTCTGCCCCTTGCCCTCCTCACGTCTGTCTCTGTCTCTCAAAAAGTGAATAAATGTTAAAAAAAAATAACAATAATAAAATAAAATAAAATAAAATAAAATAAAATAAAATAAAATAAAATAAAATAAAATAAAATAAAATATGTCAGTGTCTTCCCTAACTTTTCTGTTTCCATTTTGTTTTTGAGGATCTGGCCCTTTCCTGGACTAGTCCCAGAGATTGTGTTCCACCCTAGACCAACATCTAGTGTTGAAAGACTCCAGGGGCATATCCCAGGTCTCTAAGGAATTCCTTCATTTCCTAAGACTCTCAGCTTTGGGGTCTGATTGGCCGAAAGACTGAGTGAGAAAAAATACCGCATTGTTCGATGATTTTCAACAACTCTCTCCTGCCCGGGCTTTCTTGTTGCAGTCCCCAGAAGAGAAGACCCTTACCTGTCTCCACCTGGCTGAGGGCACTTCGAGCATCCGTGGAATCTGCTACATCCCCACTCATCTTGATATCTGCAGGGAAAACACAACTGATTTTAATAACAGGTCACAATTTTTCTGGCTATGACATATGTGGCTTTAGCTAAACAGCAAAGATGAATGTGTAATTACAACAACCATCAGACTTTCAAATTCCTGATTCCCCGAACATACAACCATTAGAATATTCATGAGCTCAGGGCACAAATCCCCTCCTCCCAGGCTTGCCTCCTTTCCCTGGCCTTTCTTCCCCCTCCCCACAGCTACTGTGGGACCTCTCACCTTTTGCATCCTTCATGGCCACTTCCTTCAATCACCAGTCTCAGTTGGTAAAAATTTAACAAGGGGAGGGGTACAGCGAGGTGGGGGGTGGGGGAGAAGGCTTCCCATTTTCAATCCTCGTTTCCTTTGGGATTGGGGGGATTTATTTTATTTTATTTTTGTAAGTAGCGTCAGAAATATCTGTCTCTCCCTCACCCCTGCCCTGTCATAACCCTACCTTGGGGGTTAAGAGTACCCTTGAGCCAAGGCTTGCCTTTCTCACCTTTCTTGCCCAACTCCTGCCCCTGTTCTCTATCTGGCTCTCGAAGGTCTGCCCACCGTCTGGGGATGAAATCCTAGTCCCTGTGTGGCCCCTCTGGAGATCCTCTCTTCTGGGGATCCTTACCTTCTTTCCTACTCCTTCAACGTGCTCAGTGAGAAAGGGATGGTGGGTGGGTCAGTGCCCCACAGAGAGAGAATACCTACACCAGGCCTGATCTCAGCCCCCTAGT